CCTACGTTTCAGATCAGTGAGGATGATGTGCGCCAGGTCTTCAGAAAGAACAAGAGAAGAAAAGCACCAGGCCCAGACGCTGTGACACCAGCCTGTCTGAAAGCCTGTGCTGAGCAGCTGGCCACCATCTTCACACAGATCTTCAACAGATCACTGGAGCTGTGCAAAGTCCCTTCATGCTTCAAACGCTCCACCATCATCCCCATCCCAAAGAAACCCAAAATTACTGGATTTAATGACTACAGTCCTGTGGCCATGAAATCATTTGAAAGACTGGTTTTGGCTTATCTGAAGGACATCACTGGACCCTTACTGGACCCCCTGCAGTTTGCCTACAGAGCAAACAGGTCTGTGGATGATACAGTCAACATGGGACTGCATTACATCCTGCAACATCTAGACTGACCAGGTACTTATGTGAGGATCCTGTTTGTGGACTTCAGCTCGGCGTTTAACACTATCATCCCAAACCTCCTCCTGCCCAAATTAACTCAGCTCTCTGTGCCCACATCATTGGTACAACCAGGGCCGTTTCTAGGCATAGGCGAGCTAGGCGGTCGCCTAGGGCGCCACCAGCTGAAGGGGCGCCAATGAGCACACGAACTGGCACTTTTAGCAGGGTTGTGATAAAGAGTGGCATGGTCATCCTGAAATATGACTGCCGCCCCCACTGGATCCCCCAACATTATTGGGCTAGAGTACTGTCAATCTGACGATGCCTGTATGCCACTAGATCAGAGTGCTGTCAATTGCTGCCTGATTTGGAGCGCTCAACAATGCCATTAGATCAGTGGGCCCTGTCAGTGCTTTGGCAAGGTAACACTTTTTTTTGCCATGCAATAAAGCGTACTTCCTTCGCCAGCTGAGGAAGTTCAACCTGCCACAGGAGCTGCTGAAACAGGTCTACACCGCCATCATTGAATCCGTCCTCTACACTTCTATAACTGGCTGGTTCAGCTCAGCTACCAAATCTGACCTCAGAAGACTACCGGACTGCTGAGCAAATCATTGGTACAACCAGGGCCGTTTCTAGGCATAGGCGAGCTAGGCGGTCGCCTAGGGCGCCACCAGCTGAAGGGGCGCCAATGAGCACACGAACTGGCACTTTTAGCAGGGTTGTGATAAAGAGTGGCATGGTCATCCTGAAATATGACTGCCGCCCCCACTGGATCCCCCAACATTATTGGGCTAGAGTACTGTCAATCTGACGATGCCTGTATGCCACTAGATCAGAGTGCTGTCAATTGCTGCCTGATTTGGAGCGCTCAACAACGCCATTAGATCAGTGGGCCCTGTCAGTGCTTTGGCAAGGTAACACTTTTTTTTGCCATGCAATAAAGCTAAGTTCAAAGGCCAATTTAAAATATTGGTACAGTAAATAAAGTGCACAAAATCAGTATTTTGTTTAGGCGGTATTTGTGGCACTTTTGTGGCACATTTGTCCAAATATTTGTGGCAGATTTGTCCAAAAGGTGTGCGTTTTTGCGCCAATGCATTG